TGTTGTTGAAAACTGGTGTTGAAATTGAGCAGATGTGTCAGGTCAGTCACAAACTGGCTGTGGCTAACAATAAGTATATGGATGAAGCCTTTGATGAAAGTAAACCGTCAAGTTATATCAATTACTTAGATGCTAACAATCTGTATGGTCTGGCAATGTCTCAAAAATTGCCTTTAAAGAACATCAAATGGGCAAAGAAAACACCTAACATTGAAAAGTGGGATGAAAAAGATGAGTACGGTTTCATCCTTGAAGTGGATTTGGAATATCCAGAAACACTACATGACTACCATTCGGACTATCCACTAGCACCGGAAATAATGAATGTCAATGCTAATATGTTGTCAGACTATCAAAAGGAAATCTACAAAATCTACTATGGAAACAAAGAACCGAAGGATGAGAAAACCAGCAAGTTAATATTAAATTTGAAAGATAAAGAAAAATATGTTGTTCATATCAAGACTTTACAGTATTATCTAAAAATGGGTATGAAACTCACCAAGGTTCATAGGATAATAAAATTTCAACAGAGGGCTTGGTTGAAACCATGGATTGACTTCAACACTGGTAAGAGGAAAGAAGCGAAGAGCGACTTTGAGAAGGATTTGTTTAAATTAATGAATAACGCGGTGTATGGAAAAACTATGGAAGACAAAAGAAAACATATGGATTTTGAACTGGTAGATAATGATGTTAGGTATGAAAAATGCGTGAATAATCCTACTTTCAAAAATAGATTTATCATTAATGAAAATCTGGTAGGAGTGGAAAAGACAAAGTCGGTCTTGAAACTTGATAAACCTATATTCTTAGGAATGGCAATTTTGGATTTGAGTAAATTACATATGTATGAGTTTTACTATGGTGTGTTGAAAAAGAAATACAACGAAAATATCAAATTGATATATACCGATACTGACAGTTATGTAATTCAAACCTTCACTGATGATGTCTACAAGGATTTTCAAGGTATCAAGCAACATATGGATTTTAGTGATTATCCTGTTGAACATCCATGTCATGACACAACAAATAAGAAGGTCTTAGGAATGTACAAAGATGAAGTCAACGGTAAAATCATTACTAGATTCATCGGGTTGAAACCTAAATCCTATGCTTTCACAATCCACGGCGAGGATGAGGAACACAAGAAATCCAAAGGTGTCGTCAAGCACAAGGTTAAAAAGGAATTAACATATCAGAACTATCATGAAGCACTGCATCACAACAAAAAACATGAAATCTCCTACAACTTCATCAGGAGCAAAACACATCAAATATATTCAATGTCTCAAGTCAAGCAATCTCTCAGTAATTATGAAAATAAAAGGTTTTATATTGATGCTTTCAATTCAATCCCGTATGGGCACTTTTCCATAAAATAAATATCTAAATGATTCTAATAATATGAAATTATTAGAATTATTAGAATTATTTAGTGTAGGGTTTGGGCTTGGGGCTAAACATTGAAACAGAAAATTGGCGATAGTTTCCCCTTTCAATTAAACAACCAGTTTAAGGAAAGAACCCTCCCTCCCTACCCTCCCGTCCCACCCGTTCCTCCAAAGTCTTGATGTCGATGTCGGCCTCCCTTCTGACGGACAGGACAGATACAAACAAGAGTTTAAGACTGTTGGGGTTTATATGAATGTTCGGGTTGTTGTGGTGGACGGGGTTGATGGGTTAGTAGGGTGGATTGGTTGGGTTGGTGGCTCAACAAAGTCACTCCCTCCAAAGATTGTTTCAATCCCCTCCACAAAAAAAAAGCAAACCTAAACAACCCTGTGACTGACGAACCTAGAAGTTCACAGCGTGGTAGAAGAGCTTCACGTTGACTTCTCAACCTCGGCACGTTGCAGATGCGGGACTGTCTTCTGGTAAAGGAGGGAAAACCAAAAATGAAGGGGTTGTTCACCAAAATTCTTAGAAGTGTGGGAGTTCGGGTAAGCACTCAAAGCATTACATACATGTGAAACAGTCACCCTTTTCATCGTTCGTAATCGCTTCAAAGTTTGTTGTCAAAGTCATTGACTTGAGCTGTGAGACAATGTTCATTTCTCACCTAAGCATCGTATCAGTAGATGAATGGACTTCATCACCTTCATTTTCCTCAAAAGTTTTCTCCGCTTCAACGTCTTCTTGAGCAGCGAGGTCATCATCAAGGTCATCAACCTTGTAGTTGCCCTCGTTTTCTTCGTCAAGTTGTCAATGAGACGTCTGTGTTGTCGCAGAACCATCTCGTGCTCAATCGTTTTGAGTTCAAAATGATGTCTAAGCAACTTCAACTCCTTATAGACGATGTCAATGTTCCTCCGAGCAGCTTGTTGATGTTCAAGAATTCCTTCCATTTCCTCTTCAAAGGAGTTCATCATGAGGACGGCTTCTGAGGATACAACTGAACCACTGACGCAGCAAATGCAAACAAAGGCATAAACGACTGGTTCATCACAAGACTCAGCCATGACCCTTTCAATGAGAAGCTTCAAGTAATGTCTCCTCTCTGTTTTTCTCCCTCCTCTTCATTCAATAGGTTTCTGTGAATTAATGAGACTTACCATTGAACTGTGCTTGGCTCATGACATGCGTATGTACACAGATGCAATCAAATACATCGAAGCCCACCTGTACAACGAGAAAAAACAGCAATCGTCGCAGACCCTAGCGACGGTTTGTCGCAGACCCTCGCGACAGAAAACATTTTGTCGCAAACTCCCGCGACAGAAAACATTTTGTCGCAAACTCCCGCGACGGTTTGTCGCAGACCCTCGCGACAGTCCAAAATGAGTCTCACATCAGAATACATCTGTTGTCACTATGTTCATTCGGTTCATTCAACTCGTTTGGTTCATGTTCTCGTTGACGAAGTCTCCCGCGGTAGTTCTGGATTTCTTCGATGTTCCGCTTGAAGCCACGATGGTTGAAGACCATGCTGTTTCCTCTTTCACTGCTGTAGCCCTTTGCATATGCGAAGATGAAATTTGAAACGAGCTGGTTTCTCAGACTCGTCATATGTTGAATGCTTCTCTCCACCACCTCCAAATCGCTTAGGACAATGTGAGCGATGACCAACAGGACATCTTCACTGTAGACATTGTGGTTGTGCTTCTGCAGGGTATCGCTAATCATCCGAAGCTTCTCATCAGGAAGTGATTCAAGTAAGCCTTTTACTTCAACTTCACCGGATGCCACCTTTGACTTCATCTCTTGCATTCGACGAGTGATTTCGTCAAAGAAGGGTATGAGTTGTGAAGGCACTGATGATGAACCAACATCGGCTTCAGAAAGATGCCGGTCATGAACGGTTTTGATGGAGCGTCGCACCAAGTCCTCAAAGGCATCCTCCCGCTTTAAGTGGAACTTCTTCACAGAGCGAGTCATGTCTCAAGAAACAACTATCGCAAAAGGACGTGAGGCGTCTGTTTCAAAACTCCAAGCAAAAACGCTGCCATTAACAACTCCAAAGAAAGACCAACTCAAGCAATGCAAGCTCAAATGTATCATCGTATTGACTGACTGACTGATGCCATGGAAATCAATGCGAACGTCAGCAAGCAACGCGAGTTATGACTTCAAGCTTCAGCTCAAACATGTGTTTTTGTCTGATGGCATGAGCACACCGTGTTGCTTCTCAAAACGCACCGCCTTTCCGCAGGTTCAAGAACTCTTCTGAAACAGCTGTGAAGTTGAACACATGGACATATGTTGAGAGATAGTTTTTTACCCTGAACCTGTCAAAGTGGTAGCATGGGTTGTCATGTCATGACTCAGATGTCAGGGTCTTCCACCATTGCATCCTCATCATCCTGCTCTGTCTCGGAAACAGAATCATCAAGATCTTCAACCTCAACGACGTCGCCGTCCTTCATGTCATAGCCGTCTTTGCCTGTGTTCTCACTCCTACCACGCATGACGACCTCGTTGTGGGAGAACAACAGCTTTTTCACCTTTGACTCCTTCATGCCGGTGGCGATCATGAACTGCATCCTGAATTGTGTGATTGTCGAGCGTCCGGCCAACTGGAAGGGAATCTCCTCACCCTTCCACTTGAAGATGTAGGAGTACATCCGCTCTGTCTTTGCTTTCGTCTTCGCCTTTGCCGCTTCGCTCCTTTCTTTGACTTTCAGCTTGTCATTCACCTCCTTGTTGGCTCTCTCAAGCTCCTTCTTATGAGTGGCGAGAACCTTCATCTGCTCAGTGATGCGGTTCTTCTCCTCTTTCATGTTCTTCTCATGAACCGTAAGCTCCTCGAGAGAAAGTGCCTTCACGGCTTCCACCAGCTCATCCTCTACCTGAATCTCAAGGAGTCTGGCTGTAGCCATGGTTGTAACCGTTGATGTTTCATGCGATGAAGAAGTAGCAGTCTCCACAGGTGAAGATTCATAGCCTCTCTGCATCTTGGGTGACATTGCTCAATCACACGACAATCTCGAAGGATGAATGTTTCACGAATTGACAGCTTGAAAAGATATGATGCGGTCAGTGCATGACACTTGTCAGGATGCTCAACGACGTCAGCTCAATGACATCAGCTCAATGACATCAGCTCAAACTAAAGCATTTGTCCAACATCCACCACACCGAAACGCACTGAGTCTCCCTGCTCAAAAACGAAGAAGTTGTCGATGTCCACAAGGCCGGGTAGAGAGACGACCGAATTAGTGGGAGTGAAAGAAGCCACAAACCAGAACAACCGCCCAAAAGCCAACCCATGAAACCACAAAAAGTCCTATCCTCTTTCAATCAATAAAACTAAAAGTTGAAATCTGGAACGAGACAGGGGACCAAATCATCAATTCGTTACCACATCCATATCGTTATTTCATGCCCCCAAAATCAGCCTTTCAAAAACGGATAAGGTGGTACACGTGTTGAATTGTGAAATAAAAAACAGAACAGGCAACCATCAACCCCCACCCCCCTAGAATCAGCCTTTTCTACATTTTTCCCCCCCCCCCCCCAGCATGTTTGACGAGGGTTTTGTAGGCGATCTCCGCCAGGGCGATGAGCTTCAGGCCATGGCCCAGCAGCAGGCGGCAGACGAGCGCCGCAAGGCCCACGCCCAGGCGCGGCAGAGCCAGGCGCGGCGCGCGGCCGCCGGGGGGAGGTTTGGTGTGGGCCGCGCGGAGCGGCGGTCTTGCTCTCTTTCCTTGGTGGCTCCCAGCCATCCCCTTAGCCGTTTAGCTTGTTGGTGTTTAGTGGTAGTTTGGTAGTTTCCACTTAACCCTCTAGAAGTTGAACTTTTAGCGGGGGATCTCAGGCAGCCCGGCTTCGCGTTGTCTGTTTTTCTTTATTTAATCATTATACACTATTTATTTCTTTTACACTTCCTTCCTTCTTTCTTTCTTTCTTTCTTTTTTTTTTTCTTCCTTTCTTTGCGTTGTTTCTTTTGTTCTCTCAATCTCTCACTCTCTCTCTCTCTCTCTCTCTCTCTCTCCGTCTGTCTCCCTCTCTCTCTTTATTTGTGCGTCTGTCTGTCGAAAGGGGTTCCATTTGAATACATGAAGGAAGTTCATTTGAGTGGGAACCGTCCAAACGAGACAAAGCGAGAAAAAGGGAAAGGGGACAGAAACTCAAACAAGTCAAGAAAAGGAGGAAGAGGGAGGGAGAGAGAGAGAGAGAGAGAGAGCGAGACAGAGGGAGGGAGACAATCTCTTCAGGTTTCATGAATCAGCGGCGCCTTTTTCAAGTTGGTCCCAACAAATAGGCGCTGTCCTACCTAGAACAATCCGCGAACAATTCGTCGCATCACACAAATGAAGAATTCTTCTGGAAGCGCCGTCAACAATCCGCTAACCATGGATTCTATCACAAAACAAATCCGATCCTTGGCAAGAATAATTTCTGGCGTGTTTCGGTCTAGATACTGTCCCTTCAGGGACTAAACATGACGATGGAACTTAGATCCTGTCCCTGCCGCATGCACTAATGGTCACATTTGTATTGTGGCTGATCCGGCAGGGCTGCCCTCCCTCCAACTAACATGGCCACTGACAGGGGCTCCCTTCAAAAGGAAATGGATCTTCCAGGTACCTCCCCCTCCCGACAGGTGCCATGTTAGTTGGAGGAAGGGTTTCATGCCTGCCACTGGCAGATGTTATGCCCAGTCGCCCGAAGCCCCGAAGCTGAGGACTTCGGCGCCGGGCAGGCGGAGGCGGCGCGGCAGCTGGGCGCGGCCAAGGACATGGCGCTGAGGAGAAGTCAGCGCACCCGGCAGCAGCTGGGCGAGCGCCTGAGGCCGGCGGCGGTGGCATCCCCGCAGCCCGCACCCCCCCCCCGCCTGAGGCAACACGAGCTTTGCAGAATAGACGTTTGTCCGTGGGACCCCCCCTTTCCCTGGACATGTAGAACCTCACTCTTTGGCCAGGTCAAATGCCCACGTTTGAGACAGCCATCGCATTGACATCAGAAATGGAGATGCGAGCTTACCAAAGTACCAAAGTCCAGTGTACATCTCCACCCCGGTCTTTAAACCCGGCACCCGGGGGGGGGGACATCCGGAAAGTGGCAGGCAGTTGCGCGGAAGTGCACAGCTGCAGCTGCAGGTGGGCACTTTGTCCAGTTGGGTGGGAACCACGCCCTCCATTGGACAATGAAGTTGCAGGCTTAGATTGTCCCAAAAGACAAAGAGACAGTTCTCTTGACAAACCCTCCCTCTCTCTCTCTCTCTCTCTCTCTCTCTCTCTCTCTCTCTCTCTCTCTCTCTCTCTCTCTCTCTCTCTCTCTCTCTCTCTCTTTTTCGTAAAAATCGGTGGTTACTTTGCTTACAAGTGCAAGTGCTGTAGTGTTCAAACAAACAGTCAACCGATTGTAGCCTGCAGCAATCCACCTTTTACTCATGCGATGTAGTGAGCTCAAGGCCTGCAGTCACATGCAACACAAATGCAGGAAGTGAAGCATGTAGTTTGACACGGCCCCTCAGTTAAAAGGTCTTTGTAGTACCTTTTCAACTGAAGTGCAAAAAACATGGATTGGCAGTAGTGATGAAAACCATTGTTGTTCATCAATTCTACTGTAGTGACAAAAGTAGTAACCTGCACTCAGTAGTTCTCGCTGTTCAGGTTCCAGCTCGATGTAGTGCGCTGGACGGAAGTAGTGAGGCAGGCACTTGGTTGTTGTAGTAGAGCATGTGCTCAAAGATGTAGTCCCCAGTTCTGGGTGCGGTAGTCTTGGACCTTCTGTAGTCGACTGTCCAAGGTCGCAAAGTAGTTCGTGGTGAAAAAGGTTGTCATGTAGTTTGGTGCTCCTCGTAGTCGCTCATCGTCGATCTCGGGACATGACATGTGTTGGTTGTAGTCCCTGAGGTAGCGGTGTAGTAGTGCCTTGTGGTGTTGTGTGAGGTTTGTCATGGTGAGTAGTGTAAATCCGTAGTACTGGATACTCTTGCAGAGGATTGTAGTGATTGCCTTGTGTTGGTAGTCGTGGAGTTGGTCTCTGTTGTAGAGGTAGTGGAGTAGTTCAGGTAGTAGTAGTGGCATGTGGTAGTTCCAAAGATAGTTGTTCCTGAGGCTGTAGTTGTCGGTGAAGATGGTCATGTTGTAGTTCACCTTGTAGATGGTCTGTGGCAGTGTTGTATTTGGGAGGTAGTAGTTCTGTTGTACCGACATCATGTAGGAAATGTAGTCTCTGGTGAAGTGGATAAATTGTCCTGAAGTGAGGTACCTCAGGAGTAGTTGTTGTTCAATCTGCAGTTGGATGATGACGTAGTTGTTGTTGTCGCCGGTTGTAGTGTGAAGGGAAGTCGTATGGTAGTAGTGCACGTTGGCTGCTTCAGGTAGTGAAACGCTGAGCAGGGTGGAGTTCTAGTGGGGCATCCGAAGGTCTCTAGGGATGCAGTAGATGGGTTGTGTGTAGTCCAGTTGTGCAAGTGGAGTTGCTTGTTGATGTGAAAGTAGTTGATACTCTTCGAGTGTGAGTGCAGTGAAAAACTGTGTGTAGGGTGTGTTGTCGGGCAGTGGTGGTGTAGTGGTTGTCTGGTGCTCAGTGATGTGTAGTTGGTCCATCACTGTGGTCGGGTTGTAGTAGACTGTGTTGCCAGGTGTAGGATGGTTGAAGTGGTAGTTGGAGTCGTTGTAGGTTTGAGGTGGTGGAGTTCCATGGTCACTGGAGTCCGTAGTGACAGCCACCTCCGGTGTAGACGCCCTGTCGGGTGTAGTCGCATCTCCCATTGTAGCATCTGCAGTAGATGGAGCGGCCAGCTGCAGTGGAGTGCGAATGTAGTGAACGGGGCAAAACAAAATGAGCCTGAGTAGTTGCTATCAGGCAGGCGGCGCATGCAGACATGTAAAACAAACAACTGTAGTGTTGACTCAGCCGCCAAAAGTGCAAGTGCAAATACATGTAGTTACTGTTACTTACATACCAAAAGTGTCGTGTTACATGTAGCTACTTACATACATGAAATGTCCAAAGTCGTTGTTGTTGTTGTGAAACTGCTGTGCTGGTCGTTCGTAGTGCTAAATGCGTATTCCAATGCTCTGGATGAGCCTGTGTAGCGTTTCTTTGCTGATGTATTTGGTAAACAAATCTGCGCTGTTGTGGAGTGTGTTGATCTTAAGGATTCTGATGATGTCATGCTTGATGAGGTCTTGTGTGTAGAGAAATTTAAGGTCGATGTGTTTTGCTCGTTTGCTAGTGCCTTGTCGTGTAGCAATGCTCTTGCCTGCTGTGGAGTCTGTGTGGATGCGTAGGTTTAGCTTGCTGCAAATGTTGGTTTCAAGTAGGAAGTTTCTGAGGTGTAGTCCCTCATTAACTCCTGTGCAAATGGCGTAGAGTTCAGACTCTGCTGAGCTGAGTGCTATTGTAGCTTGTGTTCTGCTGCCAAATGCAACTGTTGTTCCTAAAAAGATGATGTTGAAACCTGAAGTTGATTTCCTGGTAGTAGGGCATCCTGCCCAGTCGGCATCGACATGAACGTCGAGATCCAGGATGTTGTTGGTGTTTGCTCTGAGTGTTGTTGTTGGTTCTATGGTGAATTTGTAGTGCTTGGTGCCGTGCAAGTAGCGTAGTAGATGTTTGACTCTCTTTTGTGAAAGTTCTGTAGGTGCTGTGAGGTCTCGTGCTAGTTCTTTGTGGAGTATGCAATGTCTGGTCGTGTGTATGCTAACCATTGAAGTTTGCCAACAATCCTTCTGTACCTTTTGTGTTGTTCGTGGTCAAGTAGTGCTTCATCTTCTATTGTTGGTTTGTAGTGTGCAATTCCTGGAGTGTTCACTGAGTTGCAGTTGTTCATTCCAGACTCCTCGATCATGTTGTCGATGTAGGAGTCCTTTAGTCCAAGATTGCAGTAGTTGCCAAAGTGGTCGATGTTTCTTCCAAGAAATTGTTGTGGTTTGCCAGGTTCGAGGTAGCCGATGTGCTTGAGTAGGACCTGCTTCTGGATGGCCTCGAAGGTGGAGTCGACAGTAGTCTTTTCACCAAGTACCAAGCGCGAGTCGCATTGGTGTAGACGTTAGGTTCTGACTTTAGTCTTACAAAGCTGAGCTTTTGTAACACTTCAGCCAGGTAGTCCTGCCATGCTTTTGGTGAACTGCGTAGTCCATACATGGCTTTCGTTAGTCGCCAGATTTTGTCCTGTTGTGGACAAAGTTGTTTAGGTGGCCAAAGGTAGACGTCACGTTGTTTACCGTCGTGGTCTTTTGCGATGGGTGCGTGTAGAAATGCTGTAGAGACGTCACCTAGTCGCGCGATCCAGTTTGGTCGTGACATTTGTAGTGCGAGAAGTGTCCGGAGTGTCGTGAACATTGGTGTAGAGGCGTAGACGGAGTCTTCGTCCTCGATCTTCTCTGTGTAGCCTTTTGCGACGATTCGGCTTCGTACTCCTGGTCCTTTCTTTCTGTGTACCCATCTTGTAGGCATCGCTTCTCTATGACGTTGTCGTCGACGGTAGACGCATCTACTTCGTCGTAGACGTCATGTAGCTTCATTTGGTTTGACTCGTGTTTCATTCCTTCCAGTAGTTGTGTTTCGTCGTAACCTTCGTTGTCGAAGATTATGGGTTGGTCTTCTGAGGTGTCGTCGTTTGTGTAGGGGGTGATGGATTTGCCGTTGGGAAGTGTCACTGCGTTGATCTTCTGTCGTAGTGGTGGTGGTTCTTTGGTTGCTTGCTCCGTTGATCTGATTGTAGTGTCCTTGGAGGTCTTCTGTGCTTTAGTTGGTTGCATTACTTCTTCCGGAGTTAAACGTCGTAGTGTTTGTCGAGGTGGTGCTGGTAGTGGTGGATGTTGTCGTCCGGTTGGTGAAGTAGCCATAGGACTATCCGGTAGTGGTCGTGAACCTGACGTCGATGTGGACGGAAGTTGTGGAGGTGGTGTAGTGCGTTGTTGTTTTGTTGCGGGTTCCGCAACGATGTCGTCCGTAGCGTTTGTTTGTTGTCCGAAATCTTGCGTGGACCTTCTTTTCTTTGACGGTTGTAGTTGCGTATCCAACAATGTTGCGAACGAAGGGTTGTCGGTGTTCCGTCGTGGTGCCCATGGTGTGCCGGAAACTTTGTTCAACAGTGCGAGGTCGTATTTGAAGTTCGGTTGTAGTCTCCGTACTGTTCGTACCTTTTGTACGCCTGATTCCGTTGCGACGTAGTTTTCTCCGGTTTCGGAAACTTTTCCGAGCCAGATGCATTTCTGCATCCGTAGGTCTGCTTTTGGAAGTTTCTTGGGTTGTGGTGGAAGGTAAAGTAGTGTCTCGCCAAATTCGCAGATTGCTCGCTCGTAGTTTCTTCCCCAGCGGCGTTCAAAGCTTGTGTAGCCGTCTGAGTGAATGACGTAGCGATTTACCGTCCATGCTGCATGTCGTACTATCCAAGGTAGTAGACAGTGCGTTGTGGACATCGTCATGCTGTAGTTGCTTTCAACCTGAGCTTTGACGACGCGGATTTGTCCGAAGTGTTCTATGTAGTCGCTCAACGCTTCCTTGACTGTTGCTGCTGTAGGATGGTGAATGTCGTAGAGTCATTGAGCCGACTTTGGATGCTGTTGCTTTTGTAGGCCATGCACAGTTGTGTAGTAACATCAACTGCTGTTAAGACTGGTATGGTCTTCGGATCTTGTTGTGATTTGATGTAGGCAAAATCCACTTGGATGATGGGTTGTCGTGATTGTTGTTTCTTGTAGTTGTCCTGGCGTCCTTTGCTGCCTTGAACGCAAATTGGACACCAATTTCTGTATGGTAGGTGTGTCAAGTTGTGTTCTGCTATTTGTTGTGGAGTGGGCTGCTGCAGTTGTCGTAGTCCTCTTGCTCTGTGTGCTTCATGATGCTCGTGTTGTTGTTCCTCATCGTGGTTCTCCTGGATGTACTCGTAGTCTTTCTTCACGGTGAACCTTGTTGTTCCTTTCAATTGAAATGGTAGTGCTGCGTTGCCCATGACTGTCCAGTCATCTTTGCGTTGCGAAACTTCTCCAAAGTTGTTGTGAGTGATTGTAGTTCTGTGATTGGTGGATGTCCTGGTCCATCTGTTGGAGTGAATAGAGTTGTTCTAAGTGTTGTGTGGTGTCTTATCCAGTATTCACCTTGTCTTTCCCAGTAGTCTTGGTTGTCCTCCTGTGCTGTGAGTGGTCTGTGGATTGTCTCCTTTGGTTGTGTGGTGTCAAGATCTGTAGAAGGTGCTGCTTTCGGTCTCCATATCTTTTGTGGTGCTCGTAGTTGGATCTTTGATCTGATTGGTGTGTCCATTAGCCGTTGTGGTTGTGAGCTCTGCCTTGTTGGTGTGGTCTTTGATGTTGCTCTGCGTGTAGGTGTTATCTTTCTTCTGAATCTGGTTTCTCCAGTCCAGTTGTCAGCTTCTAGTCTTCGTTGCAGTTCTTGCTTGGAAAGTTGTGTTGGGTTCTCTTGTAGTTGTTCTTGCTCTTGCCCTTGTCTGTTGATGATGGTTAGTCGCCAATCATCTAGTTGTCCTTCAGGTATTGGGCAACCGCTGTTGTGTGGTGTGAATAATGCTTTGCGTGGTCGTTTGTGTACTCTGATGGCGTAGTCACCATCAAGTTTCCAGTAGTCAGTGTTTCCACCAAGGATCTGTCGTAGTCCTTGGTCTGTGTGAGTGAGTGGTGCAATTTGTTCTTGTTGTTGTACTGTTTTCTCTGTAGGTTGAATCACAGCAATGGATTTTCCATTGTCTGTAGTCATTGGGTAGATGTCGAATCCTGTAGGGATGTCGATCTTCTCTGCTCGCAGGTAGAAAAGTCCTGAGTGTCTTATGAGGTGTGCTTGTTGTTGTCCATGTGTGATGGTGCAGTGTCATGGAATGAAGCCAAGTCCATATCCTCTATCAAGTAGTCTTGATGCACTGAGGATTGGATACTTCACATCACAGACGTAGTAGGGTATCATGATTCTGAAGTTGTCCTGCTTGTAGGGAACGTACTTGATGCCGTAGACAGGAATCTTCTTGTTTGTAACCGTGTAGAGTTGTGGAACCGATTCTCCACAAGGTCGTAGCGGTAGGTCTGGTGCGTAGTCCTTCGGGCAAACATGTGTAGATGCTCCTGAGTCGATCAACAGGTGGTGGTATGACTTGAAGTTGGAGTACATGATGTAGTGTGTGATGGTGTCCTCAATCTTCTTGTTCCTTTGTTGTTGTCTTGCTGCTGCTATGTCAAAGTGTGGCTGTGTGTTGTCTTCTTGTAGGAATTGTTGAAAGCTCTTGCTGTGGTCGTTCCATGATGTTGTGTGTGTTGTTCTCTTGACAAGTAGTGATTTGGATTTGTGCTTGTGTAGTCGTGAGTTTGCTTGTCTGATGTGTCCAATGGTGAGGTGTGACTCGTTGATGCCTCCAATGTAGTATGCTGTGTCCTCATAGCTGTTGTCATTCCAATCCCAGCTGTTGTCATAGTCGTAGTCGTTCCAGTTCTCCTCCATGTAGTTCACCTCGTGTTGTCCTTCGTCTCCTTCGTAGTACCAGTCCCAAGTGTCGTTCACATCCTGAGGTAGTTCATCATTGTTGTCGTGATCTGCTTGTTCTTGTTCTAGTGGATGTAGTTCTTCTCCTTCTCCTATGTGCCATACCGGCACTCTGCAGTCTTGTGCCCAGTGGCCGGGCTTGCCACATCGATGGCATGTTGTGTGGTTGTTGCTTCCTTTTCCTTTTGATTTGCTGTAGTGTCCTTGGCCTTTGTAGCCTTTGCTTGATCCATATCCTTTGGATCCTGAGTAGCCTTTTCCTTTGCTCTTGTTGTATCCTCCTTTGTTGTAGTTTCCTTTGCTGCCTTTGTCGAATCCTTTGTAGTGTCCTTTCCTCCTGTACTTGCCTTTGCTCTTGCTTCCTTTGTAGCCGCCTTTTCCTGTTCCTTTTCCTTTGCCTTTGTAGCTTCTTCCTTTCCTCCATATGTTGTCAACATCCATTGGTGCAGTTCCTCCATTGTAGTTTGTTCCTACTGCTGAAGTAGATCTAGTGAAGGCTGAAATCGTTTGTAGTAGTCCAGGATGAGTGCTCTGATCTCGATGTAGTTCGTGATCTGTCCAGCTCGCAGTTGGAGGTGTTGCTGCAGTGCTCCTTTGGTTTTGTTGAGTAGTATTGCTATTTTGATTCCATCTGGTAGTGCTGATCCATTGTCTTTCTCGTAGCGGTTGATGTCGTATTCCCATTGTAGAAATTGTTCTTCAAACTGCGCTTCGTTGAATGTGGGTTCCAGTAGTTTGGTAAGGTAACCAACGCTCCTTGTTCCTACTGGTAGGCTGAACCTGTTGTGTAGTAGTCGTAGTGTTTCACATCCGTTTGCGTTGTAGCGGTTTTGCCTTACTACTGTAGCTGCTGCTCCCTGACAGATATTAATGAGGATGTAGTGTAGATCTCGTGAGAGGTCTACTGCTTTTGTTGCTTGTGTAGGGTCGCGTATGTGGGCTTTTATGTCTGTGTCCTCAATCTGTCGTGTAGCCACTTGTGCTAGTTGTAGCACCAGGTCGAAGTCTCGGTCTATGAGGCCGAGGTATGCTTGTAGCTTGAACAGCCATTCTTCATACTGGGAGTAGTCACCAGTGAAGAAGGATGGTGGCAGTTTGTGTCTATGTAGTCTCTGAACGTCGTTGTCTTGTTCTGTTCCTGCTCCCGTAGTTGTGGCTCCTACTGTGTCTGCTGTTGGCCCGTTCTCTGCTCCTGTAGTTTGTTGTGCTGAGGCTGATGCTGCTTCTCCTGACATGTCGTAGTAGTTTGGCATGTGACTGCTGTTACTGTGGTTGTAGTACTTACTGCTTACTGGAGCTCCCCTATGTTTAGGATCTCAGCTCCGCTACCACGTTAAAATCGGTGGTTACTTTGCTTACAAGTGCAAGTGCTGTAGTGTTCAAACAAACAGTCAACCGATTGTAGCCTGCAGCAATCCACCTTTTACTCATGCGATGTAGTGAGCTCAAGGCCTGCAGTCACATGCAACACAAATGCAGGAAGTGAAGCATGTAGTTTGACATTTTTCTATATGTATCTCTCTCTCTCTCTCTCTCCCTCTTTCCCTTTGGAAACGTCAAAGTGGCAGGGAGGGTTTGCCCGGGCTTCTGTGCCAGGCAGCGAGTATCCTCCACACCGAGCAGTCGAGGCTCAGGCAGGGCGCGCGGGACTTGCGATGCCCGCGTACCTAAGCGGGCCCAATGCAGGCAGGATGCAACGGAGCTTCAGACGGAGGTCAAGGCACTGATTGGCGTTCGGTCATTGGTCAAGTGAAGCTGGGAGCCTCTCCGATACTTTGCAATCTTTGCAGTAGCGGTCTTTCTGAGGCTCGTGCACTTCATGCAACCACCTTGCATGCGCTGCCTTGGAGTTTCGTGGCAGTTCTGGCCAGGGCATGCTGCAGATGTTTGCCAACCGCCTTTTGTCGCACGGCCACTTCCACAAGGCGTTTGGTGCCGGACTTTCTTGCGTGTCATGGTGTTCGGCCTTGTGACCCCAGGGTGCCGGCAGCAAGGCCAACGTGGTGCAGGCAGCAAGCTCAGAGAAAGACAAATGCCACGGTTGCCAAACGGCTTTGAACACATTGCGGGACACAAGTTTCCAAGAAGCGAAGCCCGGAGGCCATCGACAGCCTGGCAAAGCTCCTGCAGCCGGGTGTCCAAGGGGGCCATGAGACAGGGGTGCCTCAAGACAGCATCTACAGGGGAGGTTACTTGTATGGCCCCCATGAATGAAAGGCAGTTCCACGTCTCCCCAGTCACTTCAAAAACGGGAATGGTTGCCTCTGTGAGTGTTGTTCGGTCCCATTTGGGCATTGTGGCAGCCAAGCGCCCAGGTCTGAGAAGGAGCAGCGCGTGCTGGAGAACCTGACTTCCAGCCACCAGCCCAGATCTCAGCTCGCAAATTTGCGGAAGGGACCTCTTGGCACTGTGACTTCATGCTCACCTTTGGTTGATTTGACCAGCTTCTTCAAAACAAGTTGTCCAACCAAGCACACCTCGAGATCACACACACACACACCACTCGAGACTCGCCTTCCGCCTTCCGCCAGGCACGGGTGCTTGTCCTCCAAGCTGGGCTTGCTGCAGGCCGCCACGGAGGGTGGCGTCCTTTCCGAGTCTTAGGGGGGAAGGTTCCCGTTTTTTTTGCTCCCTCGCTGCAGGAGGAAGGGGGATGGAGGTCAAACGTGGCAAACCTGGCTGAGTCTCACCTCGGTGTTTTCTTGGGGTTTTCTTGGGGTGTGACTGGATGACCGGCTTGCCAGGCGGGCCAGGCCCGGGATGCGAGCCAGTGTCTTGGCGAGCTTGGGGGGGGCATGTTCCCGATGCCGCGTGTCTGGCTGTGGGGAATGATTCTCAAGAGGATTTCATCCGCCCATTCTTCATTTTCGTTGGGGGAGGGAGTTTGCCTCAGAAATCATGGGATATGTTTGCACAGACGCCAAGAAGAAACCAACCACTTGGAGAGATCTCCAATTTGAGTGACCAATTGATGGCGGGCAAACGGATGCTCTGCTACAGAGACGGCAGCAACCCGGCAGAATCACTCGACATCCGTCGGGGCTAGCCCAACAAACGGAAAAACATGTGTCCTTGAACGCAGCGCTTTGCGCACCTGACCCCGTTCATCAACATTGCATGAAATCGCCTGTTCCAAACACGTTGCTCTGAAACGTCCCCGCATGGTGCACTCAGCGGCGGCGCGTGAGGTATCTCGCGCAGCTACAGGCGCGCAAGTTGTGAAGCAGTGTGGGGCTTTGGGGGTGGGGTCGATCAAATCAAGAGCAAGCATCAACAACGACACAGAAGCAGCACGACCTTGTGACTATTAAAATTCGTATGCACGCAATTGGGGGCCAACCATACCTGTAAATCAATTATATTCTTGAAGTAGATGTCGGTGTGCCCCCTAAACGTCGAGCCCGGATGGCCGCATAGCCATCCACACTCAGAAAGCTCATCGCCATGGCCTTCGTGAGCCGGATCGGCAGGCGTGGGAGCGGAGCTCTGAGACCAGCGTGGCGCCGCTTGCCAGGCCGGCCGGCCTGACTGGGTCCTATGGGGGGACCTTTGGGCACCTGGTTGACATGTGGGGGGAACGGAGCGTGGCCAACTGTGCGGCCAGGCTGTTCCCTACCTGGTTTTCATCAGGCAAAAGCATCCAAGTCGCGTGATTCTCTTTAGGTCATATGTCTCTGCAGGGTTTTGCTCGAGATTATTTTCACTACCCTGCCGGGCTCACAGTCGCCACCATTTGGATTCTGCGCATGGTCCCAGTTGTTGACTCATACCTTTCCACCTTTTGTCCAGTGGGAACGCTGAGAGCCAATTTTCCTTGCAAACCACGGGGTCCGCGTAAGTGGGCGAGCTTTTCAAAGTTGATGGAAACGCTTCGCAGTCGCAGAATTGTGGACGACGAAGCCAAGAAACTGGTCGGGGCTTTCGGGACTCCTTTCAAAAGAGCCAAAACAAAGCTCAACCAACTAGCCCAGACATATAGTTTTGAAATAATGGTGGTGTGCTTCAACATGCTTCGGCTTGGGCGGTGCTTCGGCTCTGACGGCGTGGGTGACGTGGCGCGCCATGCTTGCAGCTTGGACCTTTGGCAGGCAGTACGAAGACCTCTCTGCACGCCACAGCCAGATCCAGGAGGCCCCCGTTCGCTTTTCCAGAGCTGTTTATTGGAGTCACTCGACCCCATTGTTCTTTTGAAACACGGGTTTCGGTCGGAAAAGCGAGCTGAGACACGGGCACATGGCCAGTTGGCCAACTCAAGTTGCTTTAATTCTGTGGGGCTAATGTACCATGGAGCAAATTCAGGTCCTGGCTTTCTCGACTCCACTGCTTGGGGCGGTTGGGGGGCCTTCCCCCTGTTGAACCTTTTGGCGCATGGCTCCAAAACCGGTTTGGAAGTGAATCAAACAGGCCCGCCCATTGAACTTGCAGCCCTTGCTGCAAGGACCAGGCTGCCATGAGAGCCAAGCATGCGCTCGGCTCAGATGTTGTGTGGAGACTATGGCCCCTTTTTGGATCCTGGCTCGGGGATACCAAAAAGGGCCCCTACTTTCTGACACCCCATCCCCAAAACCTCAACCCTCAACCCTCTTGACCCCCCCAACCAAATATATATATATATATATAACACCAGCCATTGTACTCCAAAGCAACCCCCCCCGCCCAAAAAGAAAAACACCTTGTACTCCAACCACGGCTCCAACCAACGCAGCGCCCAGCACCCCGCCACCCCGCCGCCCGCCCCGCGCCCGAGGATCAGCTGGCCGCGCAGCTCAAAGGCACCGAGGCCGCCGCGGCGCGGCTCCGGGCGGAGGCCGCGGAGCTGCGGGGCGGCGCCCAGCGCAGCGCCGCGGCGCTCGCCGGGGCGAAGCTCAGCTCGGGGGCTCGAGAGGGGCCGGTGCCTGGGGTGGTGACGCATGGACAAAAAGACGGGGGGGGGGGGGGGAATGGGTGGTTTTAGTATGTTTCTTGGATTTTGGCAGGATTGGTTTGAAGTTCTTTTTTTTGTTGGTTGGTTGGGAGGGATGTGGGAAGAGACTGGTGGATTTTGTGGTGGCTTGTGGCTTGTGCATGCGTGCGCGCGTGCCCGCGCCTGAACTTGCGCCAAACGCAGTGCGTCCAAAAGTTTGTTCCAATTCTGTTGTGTCAGGCCTCTGAGGGAAAAGGCGGCCTCTGAGAATCGGCGCCCTTTTCAGATGAACTAAGGAGACGTTCTGGGTGTGTGGGTGTACTACATTCTCTGCATTTCCCTTTTTCGTGGCCTTGGGGTCGTTTGATTCCTTCTGCAAAGCCCAAGGCGGGCAGCACCTGCAGCAGCAGATCGCCCAGCTCCACGAGGTGGGTTGCTGGTGCTGGGATGGTCGTGAGTGGCTCGCCTGGCGGGGATTTGGCGATTGGTTGGTGACAGGTTGCCAGGGTTATCAGGGTTTGACAGGAGGCAGAGGCGGGAAGGGGAAACTGGGTGCCCCTGCCCAAAAATGCCCTGTCTCCATCCCGGATTGTCTGGATGGTTGGGTGCCTGAACAAATGCAACCTCACACCTTCATTGATAGATCATAGCCTATAGCCGAAAAGCAGCAGTGCAGTTTCGACTCACGTTGTGGCACCCACCAAAAAAGGTTCCATTTACAGCTCCAGCCTTCCAAACTTCCTGTGAGCCTCCCTCATCTACAGCAGGCTAGCTTTTGCAAACCCTAGAAGCGCTACCCAGGCCCCCTGGCAACAGAAAAGAGGAGCTCCATTTTGACAAAGCCCGAAAACTGGCTCGTCTCCAGCGAAGATGCACCAGGCCTTGCAAGCTTCCAGCAAGGCGCGGATGCAACCGCCAACGACACGTATGCAATCGCCAATGCTTCGGTCACTTTCAATCGTGGTACGGGTTTGTTTGCTGGTGGCCGCCATTGAGCAGTTTTGAGCTGTGCCGTCAATCAATTCAGTCGTGCCCATTTGGTGGCCGCCTGGGGCACTTCAGTTTTCAATGCGCTTGCCTGGGGCCTGGGGCGTCGGGCCCATCCGGCGAAGGCTCAGCTCGCAGCGCAGCAGCAGGACGCGGAGCGTCACGCCCGGGAGCCCAGAAGTTGGGGAGGGTGTTGGGGGCCAGGTGAGGCGTTGGGTGGGCCTTGGCGTCTTCAAACCACGGCTATCTCAAAGGAATGAACATTGAAAGCGTAATTTGCCGTCGCCTTGCACTGCTTTCTGGAGCCGAAGGGCTGTTCAGGGGGAGCCTTTGGGCCATTGGCGGCCGCAGGCTGCGCACCTGGCGGCTCTGCGCTTGGCGGAGCTTGAGGCGGCCAAGCGCCGCGCAGAGGCGGGGCTGCTGGGGAGCCTGGAAAAATAAAGCAGACGGGATGCTGCAGCCGCATTTGGCCTTCTTGGGTATGTGTCAAGCACCCGGATCCCTTTTTTTGGACCTGAACATGAATCCCAGAATTGGGACTCCAAGGCTTCACACCTGCAACATCCCACAATTGCACACCTGGGCGAGGCAACGAGCCCTCCACCGGATCGGGGGATCCAAATGTGCCAGGACTGGGAGCTGAAGCTGAGACAGGACGAGAAGGCTGGGGACTCAGGCTTCCGGATGGGACCTGGTTCTGAGCAAACCACCGAAGCCAACCCAATTCTCGCCATGGACCACCAGATTCTTGCTGGTGCTCAGCAGGGAGTGAGGGAATGAGACTTGTATGTAAACCATCCCTTTGAGGGGACGCCTGGTTTCATTCACATTCCCTACTGAGCACCAGCACTTTTTTCTGAGCCTCGGCCCTGAGCCACCCGACTTTCAGGCCCTGCAGTCACTGGAGGAGCAGCTCAGGGAGGCACACCGGGCGGGCCCTTCCATCGGCCAGGCAAGCGTCCTTTCCGCCCAGGCGGTGGGAGGATGTGAGGCCATGGCTGGCCGTGAGCCCAGCACGAAAATGGTTCCTTGCAAGGCTTGGCGAAACGGAGTCTGGATCTATCGAGTTGCAGAGTGACCAGGGCTTTTTGGTCCATCCGTTTTCACGCATGGCCCAGCTTCCAGTGAAAAAACAAAAACCCTACTCCGGTCAGGGGAGATCTTCAGCTTGCGCAAGCAGCAGGAGGAGCTGCAGGCTGCCAGGGGGTGGGTGGTGGTGGTGCGCGTCTTTCTGCATGTCTTCTGGCCAGCTGCATTTGTAGGAGTCCCATGTGTGCGCGTCCTAAGAAACATGCCTTTTCCCAGAGTCATTGCCCACCTTTTTTGGGCAGGAGCAGCGGCGCGGCAGCGAGGACGCTCTGTGTGTGGTGCGCGCGCACGCCGATCGGCTGATTTGCATGCTGTCGTCCAGGAATCATGGCCCAACCCATGGACTATGGGAGGAAAGGGGCATGAGCAGACGTAGCCTGGTTGCCCGGCATCCTGAACTCACGTTTGTTGGACACAGCAGGCTAGCATGGCAGGGTGTAGTCATGATCCCTAGCATCCTTGCCATGGACAAGGGGGGAAAGCCCAGAAGCAAATAAGAATGAAACAAGCTAACAACAAGGAACAGCAGCAAGAAACCAACAGCGCAGGTCCAACAGGAGAGTTCTGAATCGGCGGATCTGTGGATCTTTCCTAGTGCCCGGCTTTTCATGGAGTCGGAGCTGAGCTCAGTGCTGGAGGCGGCGAAGAAGCTGTCCGCAAGCGACCAGGATCTGTTGCTGGAAGGGCTGCTGAAGCAGCGGCTGTGCGGTCTAGAGGCGAGTGGATGGTGAGGCTTCAAAGCCGTAGGCCTTAACTGCACTGGGTATGGCGGGCTCGCGGCCTTCTCACCACTCACACTCAGTTCCAAAAAAATGCCTTAGGAGACCCCACCCCGGAGAGAGAAAAACAACCTGACCTCTGTTTTCCGTAGGTCTGGGAAGGTCCTTTTGGTCCTTGGCTCTAGGCCTGGTGCGACTCGGACTTCAGCCCCGCCGGCTGTGCCGTGCGCCCGGCGCGGGCCTCGCCTCTGGCGCTGCGGAAAGTGGCCGGGTGCCCCTGGTGCCGGCGCCCGCTGCGCCTGGTGCCCACGCCAGGCGCTGCGGGCGGCTTTGGTCGGTTTCAGGAGGCCCCCCTTGGTGGACAACAAGCAGGGATGTGATGTTTGAACGGTTTTTTTTGGTTGGTGAAGCTTACTTAGACTACTTTCGGAGGAAAGACTTGCCTCTTAGCCTTTCAGATAAACTGAGCCGGGGCCAACGTTGCTTTCCAGCTGTCCTGTGGTCCAAATTCGAGCTTTTGGTTCAGTCCAGGTATTTGTTCCTCTTTTCCCTTTGAAGGGAAGTGCAAGAAGAATCCCGCAGCCCTCAGTTCTCACAAAAAGGGGAGAAGGGCCCCACCAAACGACTCCACTCCCCAAAGACGCCCTGGCTGCTTTCACCCAGGCAAATCGGTGCGGAAAAACTTGCCGGTGGAGGGCCGGCACGCCTACGCGACGCTGCTCTATGGACCGCAGTGCCACAACTACTTTCTGGGAGCCCTGGTGCTCGGCGAGGGGCTGCTTCTTGGTTCACCAATGGCCCAAGGACTGCCTAGTTGCTCTGCAGCTTTTTTGGCGGCGCCTGCTTCTTAGGGAGTTGGCAGTGGGGATGCAAAAGACGGTCTCTGTCTTCATCCGGGGAAAGCTAAATGTTCTGGGCGATTCAACTGCATCAACCATCAATCTGATTAAGTTTCCCTTGAAGGGGTGGACACACTCAGATCTCGGTTTGTTTTGGGCGGACTTCAAGGAACTGGTCGTGTTTGCCCGGCTGTTTTCAGCAAAGCTGAGGCTGCGTTTCGGCGGGGCTCCGCACCGGATTTTGCTGCACACGCCGGATGTGCCGCAGGCCTACCTGCAGGCGCTGACGGCGGCTGGGTGGACCTGCCGCCAGGCGCGGGGCTTTGAATAGCCTTGAACCATGTCCCAAAGTGCCCAAGTGTCAGTGTCAAAAATATGTACCCAAAATGGGAACCCTGGCAAATGGAAACATGGATGAAACCTGTGGTCCCATGGTTTAATTTTGACCCATACCCAAATTGTGCCCCACAGCTTGGGGATCATGAACTCTGGGGCTTGATGGGAGGTGGAGTACTTGAGCCACGTGGCCTGGGCCTTGTTCAAGAATTGGAAGACCAGCCGCTTCATCGACGTCTTCACCAAACTCCGGGTCCTGGAGCAAGAGGACCGTCCGCGGAAATTACAATGTCGCTCGTTCGCAAATTGGTTGAAACAAAATGATTTATATGTTGAATACATTGAGCAGTTTAGCAAGCATTGCATTGTAAATTTTCAATTGTTTGAGAAGCGTATCAAAAATAAGCATGTTCTTGCTCAAATTTGCAGTGTGATTTAACAACAGATTGTGTTTGGATTGATGTTGAATTTATAATAACCAAATTTAGTGATCATTAGCAATATTGAAAGCTGATATACCCAGCTTTAAAATGATACAACAATTATTGAAATTGATCCATTTTTTCAAATTCATCAATCAATTCTTGATTAAATGATACATTGCAAACAATTAATGCAAGAGTTAATTTTGTATTCATGATATTTTTGGCGTTATGTTAGTTTTTAAATCTTTGCATTTGTTTATTGTATTACTTTGAGATGTTTTTCATGCGAGTCTCTTTCGCGCGGCTCTTGGCCCCGGGCACGGCTTGGACTCCGGAAAGGGAAGGCCAAGAGTTGTTTGAAAGGGGATCAAGTGGCACAGACTCTCTTTGACACTGCCCCTTGTGTTGCCGTTCCGTCCGGCACAGAAAAACCGCATTGCCAGTTGACCCATTGATCCTTTCCTTTTTGGCTCTTTGGTTGGATCTTTGGACTTTGACTTTTTCTTGACATGGATTTTCCCTTGGAACTTTCCGAGGTCCTTCCAGCAACAAAGTCTCTTCCTGAGCCGGGGAAAACGGAAAAATAGCAACAAAAAAAAACAACACAACAACAACAACAACAACAACAACAACAACAACAACAACAACAACAACAACAACAACAACACCAACACCAACACCAACACCAACACCAACACCAACCCCAACACCAACACCAACACCAACAACAACAACAACAACAACAACAACAACAACAACAACAACAACAACAACAACAACAACACCAACATCAACAACAACAACAACAACAACAACAACAACAACAACAACAACAACAACAACAACAACAACAACAACAACAACAACAACAACAACAACAACAACAACAACAACCAGCAACAACAACCAGCAACAACAACCAGCAACAACAACAACAACAACAACAACAACAACAACAACAACAACAACAACAACCAACAACAACAACAACAACAACAACAACAACAACAACAACAACAACAACAACAACAACAACAACAACAACAACAACAACAACAACAACAACAACAACAACAACAACAACAACAACAACAACAACAACAACAACAACAACAACAACAATCAACAACAACAACAACAACAACAACAACAACAACAACAACAACAACAACAACAACAACAACAAAACAAACAACAACAACAACAACAACAACAACAACAACAACAACAACAACAACAACAACAACAACAACAACAACAACAACAACAACAACAACAACAACAACAACAACACCAACAAACAACAACAACAACAACAACAACAACAACAACAACAACAACAACAACAACAAACACAACACCAACAACAACAACAACAACAACAACAACAACAACAACAACAACAACAACAACAACAACAACAACAACAACAACAACAACAACAACAACAACAACAACAACAACAACAACAACAACAACAACAACAACAACACCATCAACAACACCAACAACAACAACAACAACAACAACAACAACAACAACAACAACAACAACAACAACAACAACAACAACAACAACAACAACAACAACAACAAACAACAAGAACAACAAGAACAACAACAACAACAACAACAACAACAACAACAACAACAACAACAACAACAACAACAACAACAACAACAACAACAACAACAACAACAACAACAACAACAACAACAACAACAACAACAACAACAACAACAACAACAACAACAACAACCACAGCAACAGCAACAGCAACAGCAACAGCAACAGCAACAGCAACAGCAACAGCAACAGCAACAGCAACAGCAACAGCAACAGCAACACAACAGCAACAGCAACAGCAACAGCAACAGCAACAGCAACAGCAACAGCAACAGCAACAGCAACAGCAACAGCAACAGCAACAGCAACAGCAACAGCAACAGCAACAGCAACAGCAA